AGTGAGAGTAACTATAGAACTTAAAGCAAAATGAAAGGGAGACTTGAAGGTGGTGCATGTGTGTCTGCTCTCACTTCAGAGTATGGGATTGTAATTGGGAAGTTTATCGCTTTTGTATGTGCGCTTTTTCATGTGTGAGGGCACATGCTTGTCGAGGTAAATATAAGCCCCCCGCCCCCCCAGCCCTTTTTTTTTTTTTTTGCAGTATTCTAATTAGCTTATATACTTTAGTGATGGAGAGTCCCTCTATAAAGGAGCAGCCTGCAATATATGTGGAACTCATCTAGGGGGGGCGCCAGTGAGCAGGGGTGCAGTAGCATGTGATGCTGTGTGTGGGTGCAGGTTTGTGGGTGAGGACCCTTAAACCTCTGCGGATTTGTTGCTATGTGTGTCTTCCTGAGCGTGTGTTTACAGTATATGTGCATGTACCTGATCAGGGCGGTGTGAATTTGGGAAGCAGACCGGGAAGGCTAGGAGAAATGGTGCATATAGGGGGCGGGGCCACTGGGAGAAAGGGCGTGTACAGGGGCGGGGCCACTGGGAGAAAGGGCGTGTACAGGGGCGGGGCCACTGGGAGAAGGGGTGTGTACAGGGGCAGGGCCACTGGGAAAAGGGGCGTGTACAGGGGGCGGGGCCACTGGGAGAAGGGGCGTGTACAGGGGGCGGGGCCACTGGGAGAAGGGGCGTGTACAGGGGGCGGGGCCACTGGGAGAAAGGGCGTGTACAGGGGGCGGGGCCACTGGGAGAAAGGGGGTGTACAGGGGCGGGGCCATAGTGCCCAGTAACCCCCTCCCCCCAGTTTTTGCTTGATGTGAGGTCAGCCCATGTACCAGTGCTGGTCCCCCCCTCAGATCCACCTAGAGAGGCCGAGAGCTTCACAACCGTCTTCAGCTGCTTCTGGGACCCTGCGCTGCCCCTAACCCCCCCATCACCAAGGATCCGTACAAGTTATCACTTTGCTCTTCAAAAACCAGCTGTGAAGCGGGCGTGGGGCTCGCCGCTCCGGGCGTCGTCTCCGCAGCGCAAATGAACCGGCTCCGGCTGCAATCCAGCGTCAAGCTTCACGGTGGAGTTTCTGCAAATCCCATCCACACCCCGCTGCCGGTGCCCCCCACCACCCAAAAGTCCGGCATGTTGTGAGCATGATAAATATCCTTCAACGTCGGAGCCGCCGTCAGGAACTCCCCGGCCGCTGGGATTCACTGCCCGCCCGCGTATAAATAGTCCAAGGTCTGTTTTTGACATAACCGTTTCTTTCGTTAGCTGGTTTCCTGTCTTTTGTGCTAAAAAGGAAAAACAGCAATGTTACTGAAGTGTGTCGTTTAAATTA